GACATCATATAACAAAGAATATATATTATATATTATTAAATTTAAGCAGTATAAATGAGAGTTCTAAAAACCGCCTTTTAATTTGTGTGCCTAATAAAAATATAATACACTATACGAATTGTCATATCATTTTTTCTTAATTTACAAATGTATTGAACATTTGGTACTTGGACATATTATAATTTTTTTTTTTTTGGCTATTTTTGTTAAGGAAAATTATGTCGTATGGTATTGCATATTTTGATATTGTTTTTCTCGCAGAGTTCCCGAAGACGTTGTTATTGGTCCGCTCAACAAAGACCACGGGGATTTCATTTATTCACGTTGGTCCGAGAGCATCAGGTACTCGAAACACGACGTTTTGGACACGATTAACTTGAACTTCAGTTTGGGCGTATTCGACCGGCAGAACAACGACTTGCTGGCGTGGGGAATGTGCGGAAGTTACGGTGGCGTGACCACAGTGATGGTGCTGCCCAAGTGCAGGAACAATGGGTATGGCGTTCTAATTGCCAAAGCCGTTACCAAAGAAATGGGCGAGAGAGGCATTTCGCCACACGGGATCATAGACGAAGACAACGTCGCGTCTCTCAAAATGGCCCGAAAAATCGGTTACAGAAAATCCGAACGAGTGGTGTTCTTCGAACCCCGGTAGCCCGATTAGTAGTGACAATCGGATTAGTCTTGAAATACTTTAAATTGTCAATTGTATGCCAGCAAAATTGCAGAAGAAAAGCAACGTACAACACATAACACTTTGGAATGAAAATCCCAGTCTATCGATAATCATAATGCCACGGTGTAACTAAAAATATGTTTAAAAATATATTATCGTTTATTACAGTTTGAAAGGCGGTAACATGAACAAAGTTTTTTTTTTTTCTTGAGTTTCAGTGTATCTAGATTATTAAATAAAAACTAATCACGAAATTGGAAAAAAAAACTTTTCTGAGGGCATTGTATATGAAAATCTTGATGTTACTGTTTACTTCGATATCAAGTCTATGTATAGTAAAAATGTTCAGAGATGAGGAGAGAATATTATTTACTTGCCCTCGTCTTAAGTCTTAATTATAGTAAATTTTACCTCGTTCCGTCGCCAACGACCATACCACGTTGAATACACCAGTTCTCGTCCGATCACTGAAGTTAAGCAACGTCGGGCGTAGTTAGTACTTGGATGGGTGACCGCTTGGGAACACTACGTGCCGTTGGCATTTTTTTCTTTCTTTTGGATTTTTAGTTATATTTAATGCACTCTCTGTAGTAGCTTCGATGCTGAAAAGTGTGATGGTAAGATTATTTAAGTATTTTATTTTTCTGCATACAATACATTCCCTATTTGGAATTAAAATAATTTATTAATACGATAACATACGATTCCTTACCTAATTGTAGAGTGCAATTATTTTTAAATTACCTCATAAATGTATACTACAATCCATAACTACCATGTTTATAATTATTATCACACTGTTAAGCTATTTTCCAGTTCCAAGAGATTTTCGTTAAGGTAGGAAGGGGTAAATATAATTTTTGACGAAATATGATCCATAAAATAAAATAATCCATATAAAAGTTTTTGGTAAAAAAATTTATACTACTTTCAGTGCACTGTGCAATTTTTTTTACTATTATAAGTATTAAGTTGTGCACAGATTCCTTAGAAATATAATTAAAGTAGACACTTTTAGGTATATTAGAAGGTTTATTATATAAACACAACAATTTGAGTAGGTATGTTATGTTCTTATCTTAATTTATTTTATAAAAATGTGTAAAGTACTTTACTACCAACAACTTTAAAAACCTAAGTATTTGTTATTTAAAAAAAATATATAATTTTAGGATAATAAGTTAGTATTCTAACTATATTATTATTTCAAATAATGTATTATTTATAATTTTACATTTGTACCTGCTTCAAACAATTTGTTATTTTATATATATTTTTAAATAAATATTTACTTACGAATTCTAAAATAAATGTCGACCTAAACTATATTATTTTGTAAAACATAAAAATTGTCTAAATATTTGTTTAACTACAAATATCTTTTATTACAATTTTTGAAATAAACCATTGTGATATAAATTATTATAATACTTAATACGATTTTAATTCGATTATAGAATATCATTTTATTACTTTATTGTACAATTTTGTTATAATTTATAGTTTTATAGTTATTGATAAAACATTCTACTTATTTTTATTAGATAACCGGCCAAGTGATGAAGATTCATTGTTTGTTCTAATCAACAGGTACTACACTTTATTGTATCATGCGTAAATATCACTAATTATTCCCTTTATTCTTTCTATTACCTTTAACCGTATGCTATAGTAACCATTGTTTAATTTAATTTTGTTAACATATAAAACACTATGGAGCTCGATTATTTGGAAGAAATGCCCCAAGACAAAATGGACTATTTTTGCGACCAAGTCCTGAAAAGGGATTGGCCTAACAGTATTAATGTACGTATGATACTTTTTGTTCAATTGTTAAAATTTTTAATTCTACAATTTTTTTATAACCCCGTCAACTTGAAAATTGATTTATTTTACTAACAAATATCAATAAAGTCATACTCGATGGAATTTAAATATTAAATATATAATCCAAAAACTGTACTTTTCCAGAAGCTATAAAAAAAATTAATCTAAACCCATTAAAATTTTCTATTAATTTAAGACTAAAATAGAAATATAATACATTTTATAATATACTTCATAATATAAAAGAATCGGTAGGGTTTTGGAAATTGTTTTTAAAATATAATAAAAATATTGTTTTTAAATAATTAATTTTAATGCCAAAATCTATGGTGAAATCAGACTTTGTCAGATATACCTACTTACTTTAAAACCAAATTTACTTCGTTTTTTTTTTTGCTAATTCAATAGTCTTATAAGAATAAACTTTCTTTAAAATACTTTTAATGACAAAAGTAAAATAACTTACTTACATTAGAAGAATATAAGCAAATACAATTTTGCTTTTATTTAAAAAAATAGTTATTGGGAAAATAAGAATTTTTCTAAAGTAATTTTCCATTGGTTTTAGTATACAAACTTATATTTTTTTTATGTTTTATTAAATTTTTTCCCAATACAATGTGCCCCTACAATACGCTCACGCCCTATGCCTAGTTCACATTAAGGTTAAATAGATAATAAGAGCAACAGTCAATAATAGTATGGAAACTCAAAACAAATGAATCGCTAATAATAGGGAAAAAACACTTGCTGAAATCGCATAACCCGATTTTTACATAATATATTAAATAGCACACTTAATTGTGTACCTAAATTTAATTTATAACATTTCATCCGTAGATAAACACCGATTAACCAAAAACAAACTATGGACTCGAGAATGTGGATTTTTTGATAAGGTGATTAGGTAGGGAAACGCGGGGCAATACGGGACCTAAAGGAAAATTTTGCTTAATTTGTGAAATAATGATTAAATCGAGATTACAACATACATTTATTATTCTGTATTTATTGGTTTATCAGTATAAATAAATAAAATACGGGCATAAAGAAACAAGATTTTAACGCATAATATAGTAAAAACTTATTTAAATTATAAAATAACTCAAAGGATAATTTAAAAACAGTTCAAATACGCTAATTAATTAGGTTGTACTTTAAATTAGGTCAATTATGTTTTACAATATTCGTTGTCTGTCCAGAAGTGCAGATGTCGTCTTAAAGAATGAATTGGAATAAAATACTAGACTGTGTTATTGTTTTTTTTTACAGGTCTACTATTTTATCAAAACGGGGTTTAAATGGAATAACAAAAATGCTGCTTCCACTTACAAACTGTATTATGTCCCCCACGACATCGATAATGGTACATTTCTCGGAATCTACCACCAACCCGTGAGTGTCATTGTACAAATCCAAATTAAGTAGTCAATTCCAAATGCCGAAAAAGATAAATTACATTAAAATTTACTTCTAGGGAGGCAAGCATCCAACTATTTTTGTTCCGTACACGAGCCCCGGAAACGAGCAACAACTACAAACGGTATTGCGCAACACTAAAGTCATCAATTGGCAAACTAAACCTTACTTTCAAGCCGTCTTGGAAAGGATAACCGGCATCGTGGAATCGACAATTCGATTGAAATGTTCAAACGAGTATTCATACGCACCGTGTATAATACACTGGATGCCAGCAAACGAAGCAGCCGATTTAGAACTAAAGTAAGTACCTTGAACTTGATTGTAAATAATTTTGCATACGAGTAGCATATTTGAATGTCGAAACGATTACTTAAATACTACTGCGGACTCACTCTGCCTCGTGTGTGCGTAGGCCTAGGACAGCCCGACTGTTGTATTGCATATTTTGATATTGTTTTTCTTACAGAGTTCACGAAGACGTTATCATCGGTCCGCTCAACAAAGACCACGTGGATTTCATTTATTCACATTGGATCCTCAGCGACGTGTACTCGAAATACGACGTTTGGGACACGATTAACTTGAACTTCGGTTTGGGTGTTTTCGACCGGCAGGACAACGACTTGCTGGCGTGGGGAATGTGTGGAAGTTACGGTGGCGTGACCACAGTGATGGTACTGCCCAAGTGCAGGAACAATGGGTATGGCATTCTAATTGCCAAAGCCATTACCAAAGAAATGGGTGAGAGAGGCATTTCGCCACACGAGATCGTAGACGAAGATAACGTCGTGGCTCTCAAATTGGCCCAAAAAATCGGATACAGAATAACCGAACAAGTGGTGTTCTTCGATACCCGGTAGTCCGATTAAAGACAATCGAATTAGTCTTGAAATACTTCAAATTGTCAATTGTATGCCAACAACATAGCAGAAGAAAGTCAACGTATTACACATAACACTGGAATAGAAATCCCAGTCTATAAATAATTATAATGCCATGGTGAAACTAAAATAAATTTAAAAATATATTTTCATTTATTACAAGTAATTATAAACATAAAATTAGATAAATGTCAAAATAGTAAAAAAGTAAAATAGGCTACCGTGCATGAACGAAATAACACTTAGTAAAAAAAATAACTCTTTAGGAAGCTTGCACTTTGTAAATTATTGACATTCCGTTACTATATAATATTTTATTCATTAAAACGTATCATAAATATTTGTACATTCAGCTATTATTATACCTATTCTTCTTGCTATATATATATATAAATAAACATATATTAAGTAATAATTAAGTCGATGTAATAATAGTTACACACACACACGTATCACAGAAGTTTCAAAATTTAAGGTCTCAAAAATATTTTTGTCGCGTAGGCATAAAAAACGTTAATTTTCCGACGCATTTTCGTCTGCGAAAAAATTCAAATACATCCACACTATCATACACAGCATCACGCTGATACATATGCCCATGACAATGATCTTATTCTGTAACAAAATAATTCAACCCTTGTTATGTAAGTAGAAAACATAAAAACAAAAGCCGCCGCAGAGCCCAAGGGTAAGTGTTAGTAGGCATGTGTGTAAATATGACGCCAGAGTAGGTTCTTGGTAGACATAATAATAAAAAAAAATGTTTTTTTTATAAGTAAAAATGTACAAATACAAATTACAAGAAACTAATTTTTTTCTAATGAAAATCGGTTTCCTACATTACATGGTAAAGTAAACTCGAATCGCTTTACATAATTGAAATCGAACCACCCTAAGTAGTCGAAATTTTTTCTAGCTTCTTGGTCTTAAATACCACAAAAATTGCGTTTACTCAGTGAATAAATTTTACAAGTTAAAGCTTATACAAGCTGTAAACAATTAATCTGTAAATAATTTTCTGAAATATTGCCTATATAAAACTCCTTAAAACTTGTCCGCTTTCAATCCCCTTAATCGTCCATTTTATAATACAATCCTTTATATTCTATTAAAGAGATTTAAAAAACGTTACCGAATTTATAAATATGAAATAATTATTGTATATTTTGGCGATTTAATTTTTGTTCTTGTGTATTTTCAGTAACTTTTCAATTTCTTGGTGTATATTATTTGTGTGCGATTCAGATTAAGTAAGACAAGTGTTATACTAGAACAACGGAGGAAGGCGGTTTAAAAACAAACGGGTCCAATTCAGGGTACAAAGCAATTTTAGTAACGGTTAGAGGTGTTAAAAGGCGGTAGAGAACCTGTTTTGTTTGGATAGCAGAATATGGCGAATAAAGTAGTGAAATGTAAACATTTAGGATTAGTTGTGCAAGATAAAGATAAAGATGTGGAAGGTTGGTGATGACAAGTGGGGACGAATAGAGAGTAGATAAAGATGTTTTGGCTGACCGATCCCGATAGGAAGAAGCGCGTTAACCATTTGAATACATTAGACAATGAATGAAGAAAATATTTAATCGTAGTAAGTACCATTCTAGTTTTGCTTTGGTAAATAACGGCTTTTCTAGTCTCGATTTTCGCCGTTTCAGCAGCATCTCCAGCTCTCAAAACATGTTGTTCGATGCTATTTATGATATCGCCCTAAAACAGTTAAAACAAAACAAAATCATTTTTTTAACCAATTAAAACGCGTTTTACAAGTTAAATTTTAACAGTCTGCGGTTACATTTTCAGTTTTGAATCTCTATTAGAAAAATTAAAATTAAACCGTTTTAAAAAATAATTACGGCCGTAAGATCAAGAGTAAAAACTTAACATAACCTAACGTAACATATCCTAACCGTTCTACTTATTAGTTGTTTGCAATACTCTCGAGGACTTAGATTATATAATTGTTGATAACATTTAAAACAATTAGTACTACACAAAGGTTATCGTAAGACTTAGTAGTTAGCTTAATTGTTTTGTTATTAAACCGCATTTTTTAAAAATTACTTCAATAGGTAATTATTGAATTACCTACTCTACCTATCAGTAAAAAAAAACCTTACGTTAGTATTATAAATCTTATTGTATTAGTTGCTCAGCCTTAGAGGTCAATGAGCAACTCGTTAAATATACAATGGAAGTCATCCATGAAGTTGACACATCGGTCACGTTAATAAAAAAACAAATGCCTAATAAAATAATGAAAATCGACAACATAATTTTATATAATTAAAAAAATGTCATACTTGCTTTTCAACTAACAGCGCCATTTCAACAAACATGTCTCTGAGCTCTTGGATGCTTTTCTCTAGTTTTAACAGTTCCAAGTGCCTGTCCTGGACTTCTTGCAAGGTCTTCCTGGCCTCTAACGTGTCGGCAATGATCTATAACAATAATAAAATCCAACAAATATAACAATTACAGTGTTCTATCAAATTTAAAACTGCGTCTAAAATGTCATTATATCCAGAGTTGTGCAAATTCTTATTCAAACTAAATTTTTTTTGAATGACTTTGCAAAATGCATTTGAATAAAAATATAATTCTAATAAAAGATTATTTAAATATCTATTTTTTAAATTATTCGAATAACTTTTACTTGAATAATTATTATACATGTATAACAAGTATTACACGATTTAAATGATTTATTTTTATACTTCTCCGTTGAGAATAATCTACTGAACATTTTAACCGGTCAATCGAAAAATGTATAATGTAATTAAACCAATATTTACAATAAAAATACTAAAAATTTACTATTAAGCGTCCTACGTTAAGTTTATCACCCCTGTAAACACCTAGTCAAAACAATTAAGTATCAGCAATAATAATTATTAGTAAATATCAACTACAGGTAACATAATAAGACTCACGTTGCCGTTGAACACTGCCGAGTAATTGCCCTGACTGACGAGTTCGTCAAACTGTTCGCTGGATATTTCGGCTTTTACTGAAACAATAATATTTTTCCGTGTCGACAGAATTATTGCAAAAGCGTTGGTGGTCAAAAAAAGCATACCCAACAACAAACAATACAAAGATCAAGGTCGATAAAAAAAAAAAAAATTCCTTTTACCTATGGACACGACCTTTTGCATGCGTTCTTCGCATTTTTCTTTGTAGTCGATCTGCTCGGCGTTGAACTCGGCTAAGGCTTCGACCAACATGTGCACCGTCGTGGCTTGTTGAGTTTTTCGGATCCTAAGTGCGGCGCTAGCTGGTTCGCTGCCGGTTGACGACTCATCTTCTTCCTGGTGGATCTGTTTCTCCAGCTCTAAGACAAACGGAAACGGTTGTTTTTAACGGCTGGCCAAGCACCAATGCCAGTGTATATATATATAGTTGTCATTTTTTGGCTTTCTCGCGCAAATTTCCACTGGATTCGCCGCAATGCTTTTGTAATCCATCATATAGCTATAGATTATAATATAGGAAGAGGTAGAACTGTACACTACACGTTCAAGCATTCAAACACCACGACGGTCCGGCTCGGTATCGGTCACGGCGATTGGCGACGATAGCGAAAATAATATAATATTATTAATGAATTATCATACAGCTGGATATACTGTACAGAAATCGAAACGTTATAAAATCGCAATCCGCAAGTTAACGCACTAAAAACGACCGGAAATATGCGTACACTTATGAGCTAAATATTACCTAAAATGTGCAAAAAAAATGCGCTAAATTTTAACTTTGATGCGAAGCTGAGAAGGGGTGATTTTACAATGTTTTGTTTTTTTGTATTTTTTCTATGCGTTGTTGACCCACTATGTATCCTAAACCGCTGGACTGATTTCTTCATGTAGCAAGTCTAATAAACATCACAAATATCCGTATCTAAAATTTACTTTATTGGGCCGAAAATGTAATAAAATACACCCTTTTCTCTTAAATATCACGAAAAATGTACACATTTCATCTTTAAATAACAGAACGCAATAACTTATTTAAAACTATGTATACACACTCTATTAAATATCCACTTTTATTAAGTTATTACCTAATTATCAATGGCAAAAAAATGTCACATAACGATGTTAGGTGTTCTGATAATCTATAATAACATATAATACAGTAGTATATATACATGTTTTCATTACACTGCATCCTCATTAGACATTAACATATAAAATATCATCCAAATTTGTTTTGAAATTATGACTTCACAACCTACTTGACAAATTGCCAGCGTGTAATATTGTGATTAGTATAATGTTATCAGAATTTAGATAACATGTTTTGTCTATGTCAAATTAGAAGTTTTATTTTTACTCACGTAGCAAAGAAAAATTTGCATAAACGTATGTGAAGCGTTAAATTTCACAGTTGTAATCATAACATAGGTGTATAATATCGTTTTATGTAAAACTTAACTATACATTGTCAAATTAATACTAGGCTAATAACCATTACATAGCAGTTGAAGTTAAATTAATTTAAGAAATATGTAGTTTAGAAAACGGTTTAAGTAATATCTAATTTTACATCTAATATCATGGTTGTGATTATAATTTATAACTAAACATTTCGATAAAAATAAAAAATGATCTAATATTTTTTATTTAAAAAAATCCCATTTACACGTTTGTCCCATTTGCTTACAAAATTTCTTCTCGACCCTATCCTATGTCCCCCACTCCCACGTTACACTACCGATGCACAAAAATGATCCTATATAATTTAAGCGTTCTACACGTATCCTGAAAACCGGAAGAGGGGATACCCCTATCCATATAGACACTATACCGGATGGAACGGTTTTGAAAAATATTACGAAGTAGCCGATACGTCACGTCAAGTTCTTTTTTTTTATGTATTGCCTTGGCGTTAAAAGAATATAATTTTAGATTCGTTGTACATGTGTGACACTTCCTAAGATCAATGCTGTCGGCATTGGGCCTTGATGTTGGTTTAGAATTCGTTCTGGACAACCTACAGATTGCCATTTACGATTTTTTATTATTATTATTAATAATAATATATTACCTCGCTCACGTGTCGGTTACACGGCGAGTGTATAATACTCACATTAAAACCCATTATTGTGCCGATTCTGCAGTGTCATCCGGAAAGTATATTCCTACATTGCCTATTATTGTGATTTTCATTAACATACACATGTATAATTTCCAAGTGAAAAATCAACACGACTATTTTCACTTACAATTCGAATGTTTCTAAAACTTTAGACAAAAACACTATCAATAAATGCTAAAACAGCAGAGTAAGGGAGGTCACAGGTTATAGGAACTATTATAACTAAAAGCGTAATGAGAACCGAGGGAGATTACAGGACATTTTATCAAAACAACGAGTTAAATGAAAAAATAAGTAAAATAAAGTCAATATTAACATTTACCGTTTTAGAGATTTATAATAATACACATAAAAACTATTAAAACAAATGTTTGGTTTTTAATTAGTAATTTTATTTTATTTCAATGTATAGATATTTATAATATGTGTATTTTCGGTTGGTAATAAACAAATCCATGTGATTGGATAAAATCTTTTTTTTTAATAAAATCTTTCCAGCTTCACGTTGTAGGTTATTACGTTTGTGATATTTGAAATATTTACTTCGAACGCACAAAAAATCCATTAGAAATACGAAATTTTCGGTACAAAACAATTATCTATTTTCACTAAAAAATGCACTTCTAATACTTAATTTAAAACACAATCTATTGACTATTAGTGCATTTAGCACAATAACAAATTGGGGAATTGAACAATAAACAAAAATCAAAAGAGCCCTCGTGTCTAAAACATTGGCCAGCCTAAGCCTGTTAGGGTAAACCTATCAAAGAACAGTCTAAACCAGACTAGAGCTGTATAGTTTTCTCTACTAAACCGTTAGCATAACATAATATGAGTATATACATAATAGTTATTGGCCAATCGCGCGCCATATTGCATACATTCAGCTTAACCAATTATCACCAATTAAAAATAACGAATGTCAACAGCTGCTGTGTGTAAACGGAAAAAATAATATTATAATCATTATTCTGTTGTTCTTCGCCAGGAATTAAATGTCAATCGTTGCCCATATTATGACAAAGATATATTATGTTACACAACATTATAACAAATAACTACTTTTTACCTTTTAACGTGATGCTGACTTGTTTGCCCATTTTTTTCACGTTTTCCGTTTTTGAGTCAATTTCCCGTTTCAAACCTACGCAAACAAAAAAAATGTACACATTTAATAATCACTTGCTATACGCAAGCTATACGGACGAAAACGAATTGTTTTACTTTCATCTTGTCTCGTCAAAAGCAATAGTTTCCTATGTAACACCCTCATTAATACTACGTGCTCTTTGATTTGTCTTATCTTTGAACGGCATTGTTCGATCTGAAAAAAGTGTTATCCAAGTTTAATTTTTAAAAAAATGTATAATACATGCTATCCATAATCGGCTAAAAAAATTATTAGTAAGTCAAAACTAAATGAGGAAAAGGAAAAATTTTTAAGAATTTTAATTTTATTAATTTTTTTTCTGTATTGTTTGAGACTCATTTTTTGCTAAAATGAGTTTTCTTTATTATTTAAACTCTTAACTCACCTCTACTGGGTTGTCGTTAAATGATAAGCTGATAGCAATATATAAATTTTATGTAATATAATTTTTAAGAGGATGTTTCACCTCTAAAACCACCTTCAATAATTCGGTACAGTTAGTTTTTCGAAAACATACTTTATCAATTTGGTACAAAAAACTTATTTGCACCACATAACTTTTTTTACGTTTTGACTAATTAACGTTTTTGTAAGATTCAAAGATGCACAAAAGAATTCATAAGCTAAATGTAAAAAATGTAAATTTTTAAATAAAAAATTGTAAAGAATCTTTTTTATCTAAACCTCCAAACTTTAGGTCAGAAATATTATAAACAAGTTAAAATAGATGTAATAGTTAACCTGTTTAAAAAAATGTTCCATGTAACCGTACTCCGAATCTTGGATGTCCAAAGCGACATTATCCACTCCTGTGATATGACACCTTGAGTCCATTCTGTTTATATTGCTTGGGAACACATCTTCGACTATCTGAAAAATAAAATAATCTAAGTTCGACGTGAGGCGTTAAGTGTTAAGATTTTAATACTAATACGCCGTCAATTAAAACTGTATCCACAAATACAGTAGTAAAAATGTAATTGTGTAATTGCGTATAATGTAAAACAACATTTTATAACAATATGTTTGGTTTTTCCAGTGAAATATGTCAAGTATTTCACTAAGTCCACATGTCGTTTAAATTGTATTAAGACATTTTGAATTTGGACATAATGATTATTGTTATACAACTATAAATATTCGAATGTCTTGGTAGCCTACATTTGTGTGTTTTACACACACAGCTGTGTAAAACACTATAACAAAATATCAGTCACATTTAAGTAAAAGAAACTAGACATTTTCAATCAGCGTTAACAGACACTACAAATTTGCTATTCAACAGTCACAAACTCATGGTCAAAGGGGTAATCAAATTTGAAGAGATGATCGACAGCACTCTAAACGATTTAAAAAAAAAATCACAATAATAATAAAACGATTTTTTGTAGTATCCTTCGACAAATTTAAGACCCTTAATTTATTTGAATTCCTGAAAAAACAGTTTATATTAATAACAAAACAAATAAGGATAAGAAGGGGGGTCTAGAACTTCTTAACAAAGCAGACTACCATAACCTACAATTGTGTTTTTAGTCTTGATTTATTATAAAACCCAAATGCTATATCTACTTAGCAAGTAGACTTTTAGAGGCTTAGATTTTTAACTCATGTTATAAATATTTAAAAATACAGTCTTGATTTAAATAAAATAACGTTGACTAGCTTGATTATCTAATGCATATTATATGACTCATTTTACTATTTTAATACAATCATTGAACTGACAAAAAAAAATAATGACGATGATAATAAAATTCAATTCAATGCGTGTGCTCTAAATGGATACAATATTATTTATTATACATAGACGGATAAATATTATTTTTAATTTGTTGAAATAATAGATATTAATATTTTATTAAAAATACTGGCATATTTTCTTTAAAGATGGTGTAGATAGAAAAATCCGTAATTTTCTAGAAAAATTATGGAAAGTCCAGTCAAAAAGATACTAGGTATGAAAACGAGTGTCAATAAAATATTAATTATACATTTTAGTGATTTCTATAATTTAAAATTTAATCATTTTTGGTATGCACTGTTAGGCAATTAAAACAACAAAAAATTCGATAATAACGGACAATTTCGGATTTTTTTTTTATTTTCCAAAAATTTGTTTTTTTTTAGAAATAAATATTTGTTTAATCAATTTTCTATATTTTTTTCATTTTGAGACTAGAGTAAACCCTACTTTCCGGAATATTCCCTCTAACCTTCTAGACGTTAAAATATAATTTTTCATACTATATTTTGGTTGCTGATAATCAAGCCTCAAGGTATAACATTTGTCATGACTCATGACATAATATGATATAATTGACACGTCATATTATACCAAACACAAAAGTTGTAAATAATTATGCTTTCCTTAGTATTTCAGATAACTATTCAATGATAAACGATTAATGTGACACGATTAAACCACCAAGAAAAAACGATTTATAATGGAATTTCCTGAGATTATTGACATCATATTAGAAGTGTTGATTTGACTTATATTTTACACTATTTAAGTATCAAAGAAATATATATGTAGAAATCAAAGTTTGATTTAGCACTCGGTACTTATAAAGCTTATAAAGTAACAGTATTTTTTAAATAATTGTAGACAACTTAATTGTAAATATTATGATCATAAGATTAATATTATGCGCATTTGTAATTGCCTCACATCAGTTAAGCGGAAAAAAAATTATTCGTAAGTAAATGTAATACAATTTTTTTTTGCGACTTAATTAATGAGTTAATTTAAATCAGAAAAACGTGTTTTCTTTCATAAAATATTCTGAGAACAGTTCTGAATTCAGCAGAAATAAAATCATTCAAAAACCTAATAAACGACAATTATGTTTGTTATGTTGTCGTTCGAATATGTTGGTTAAACAACTGCTTCAAGCAATAAAAAATCTAATTTTCAATCAACAATTGTTGACAATGACACAAATGGATGGATGCGATAAAAAAAGCTAATATTTCTTTTTCTAATATTTAATTAAAAAAAACATTTGAAGTTAACTTAATGAACCGACTATATTATATTATATTATATACATCAACTATAAGAGTATATGACAATTAATAAAGTGTATAATTCACGAAACATGCGCAATTTAATATGAAACAAAGACTTTCTCTTTTTTATACTTTTGAAAGATAACCGATTAGAAATGTATTTAAGCAACGATGATCAGTTTTATAAATTGTAATAATCACAATTAGTCAAGTATCTCTTTTACGTATTAAAGACAAATTAACAACAATCAGCTAAAAAATAATTTTCCGAGTCAACATACTACCTAACAATTATCTTTTAATTGAAAAACGTGAAGGTTGAATTGATTAGCGTGCTATTCCGTTTAATTCCATAGCGATTACTTGCTATTAAAACAATTAAAATTTAAATAATTATTATAATATTGATGTAAGTAGTGTGTTGTTCAAATGGCGATTGAGTTTTGTTTTTAGTTATTTTAGACGGTTGATATTAGCGAGTATTTTAGTAATGTAGAGTAAAATGATTAAGATAGTGCTCGTAATTTTTACACAATAAGAACCCTATAGTTTTACTGGTGAATTTGCTCGAGCTGTTGGATTTTGGGAAAGGAGCCAAATTGCCAAATGACCGACCCAATTTGAGATTTCGAATAAAACGCCAAGAGGAATACTGATGAAGCTCAGTTTACACAACACGTAGGTCAATAAAAAATAATTAGAAACGAATACAAAAAAATTCATTGAATTCCAAATATTATGTTGTCTCATCCATAACGAACTGTGTTCGACATACGTCATGCTATTTTGACTCCAGTGCGGTGGACTTCATCAATATCATCAAAACAATGACGTTTGATAAAATATGCATGTATTGGTTATTACTAGTAGGTACATAACAATATTTTTTTTTTTTTTGATTTTCAGTTATTGTTTTCAAACACCTTAAACCATACAAATCCGAACAATGGCACCAATAACTAATAATGACGTCAATATCATAAAAAAAGAAAAAGATCTGCCGCAGGAAAATAACTTTTTCTATTAGATTTTTTTTACCATTTCACTATTACAACACGACGCATAATAATAGTTTTTTTTGTTATTAACGTCCAAAAAACGTCGGTTTTTTACGTTCAACTGCAAGCAAACCAGGACAATTTGTATTAAAATAATTATAATTCAAAATTTGATTTGAGTTATTTCTAACTATTTGATAATATATTAATCGTTATTTAAATATATATATATATATATATTTTTTTTTAATAATTACATACTATCCATTTAATTATTAGGTATAATATATATATGCGAAAATTACATTTTTCAACTAGATAAATAATTATTTAATTTTCCAACTATCAGCATTTTAAACGGAAGTATTTAAATCATTTTTTATTTGAATTTTTATTTCAATAAATAATTCTGTAATCAAATTACACTCACTCAAACCCTTTGCAATATCACAACTTGCATCAAATTCACTCCCCGGAAATCCCACTCGCTGACTGCGAAGACATTGGTGTCGAAATCTATACATATATATATATTGTAACTATTTGCTTATTATGCTCGAAGCAAACACTTCACATAATACCTTTTTCTGAATTTTTAATTGTGAGTATTGAGAAATGGTATACATCAACATTAAATCGGATTGCTAATAATGGCAACCCACCCCCCCGCATTTTGATTTTAAGCCTCGTTTCCTAAGTATTTATAGTAAAATTTATACTAATAATATTTTTGTTAACAACTTTTAATTTTAACATTTTTATGTTGTATAAATTCAGTTATATTGTATTAAACGATACCGGAAGAAATCGGCCAATCGATTAAAGCTATTATATAGGCCCAGACAAAAAAAAACCACATCATGGTAAAATTTATAACTTCTCCAATCTACACTAAAAAAATGACTAATAAGCGTTTAAAAAACATCATTATGCCAAATAATAAAGTCAAAACAACAGCTGTAACGGGACAATTTGTTCTATCGACAAAATACAACGGTTTCCTTGGGTTTTCATTGCCATTGTTACCTTTGTATAAATATAATATGTATGTTTATATGGTATAATTTACGAATTTTACATTCAATGAAATATAGTATAGAGCTACACTACTGTCCTTCTGCGCAGCAGACAGGATGTCTATTTTTTTTTTAGCGTTTATTATAGTAAATTAATATTAAAAAAAAAATGAATTATTCAATTGCTGTGAAATATTTTTTATATACGTTTTTTTGATTCTTTCGAAATTTACTAATATAATATGATAATTCGTTCGCATACATAAACAATATTAATATACATATATATTATGTAATATTATAGTAATTTAACTATGTTTGAAGTAAACAAACAATGATAAACATGTTGATTGTCAACGGTTGCGCACCACTAAACATTGACATCAACCACAACAAAACGGTTCACCTCAGTGTACAGGCCTTGAATGCCTATTGTGTTTTTGGAAAAAATTAATTGGCGCCATTTACGACGGATAGACCGGTACAGTTGTTGCAACATTAAAAACAATAGGTAGGTGCTCTAAGCCATGTAATGTGGATGAGTAAAGTACGGCGAAATAAACTATGTCATAGTACCTACAGACATTTTCCAATTTAAATATTTTCCTCGCAAAACCATCCTCGAAGCGAAGCAACAATGCAAAATAATATTATAATGAGGAAATAAACAAATTCAGTTGACTCCTACGCGCAAATTATTTTACTACGGTCACGTCTTTTCAATAAAATAAACGACTAATTTATTTCCAAAAAAAAAAACTACATTAAACACAAATAGACGGCACGTTTTTACATAAACACTCGAACAAACGAAAAATGAAAATAAAAATGTCAACACGACAATATTGTACATATTTACTTGCACCTATACCTACTAAATGTCGTTAATCGTTCAAAGTTAGCACAAAGATAGGTACATAATTACAGGTAAACTATTATGATTCGAACGTGTTTTCGTTAATCGTGTGATGTAAATAAAGTACGTCTTGAGTACCTTTATATATATATCTTTCACTAATGAGTTAATATTGAGTACTTTACACGTCATGATCGATACGCATAATAATAACTAAAATCGTGTTCGCCGAAAACAATCACAGTCAGTAAGACAGTATCAGCTGTCAAAATTATAAAACTATTTTAATCACGTGTATTTTACACACCACAACTGGATCCAGAATAATAATATGTATAATAATGGCCATTATTATGATGACATGATATTAAACGTTTGAATTAATCAAATTACATCGCTGACCCAAGGTCGCATTTTTGAACTATACACATACATTGATTATGTAGTAATCTATTGTAGTAAATCAATGAAATGTCATCTGACCACTTATACTGACAAATCGATAAATTCAAAATATTATCACTTCTGGTTTAACGTCTTTTTTGCAAGATTCAAATAGCTTCAGACAATTTTTCGAAATTAAAACAAATAAAAATATTATACAAATATTTACGTTAAGATAAAAAGATATATACATTAAAATATATACGTTTAGATTGGAATTCCTTTTTTTAGACCGTAGATAATATAAGCACGACAAAATCCAGTGTCTAAGTTTTCTTTGAGATAAAAATTGTAAAATGTACACAGAATTTGAAAACTATCCACTAGTGCGACAAAATATAAAACTTTTTATGTCTCGATTCTACGAAAACACAATGATTATTAACGCGTAATTTACAACAAGAATACTATTTTTAAAAAAATGTGTTTTTTTGTTTTTAATTGGTATAATATATACAATTTATACAATTACAGGTATAATGAGTATATATGCTAATTTTGATTATATTAACATGTTAGGCTTGAATAAGAAGCCGTCCACCGAAGACACTTTAATTACAAAAACTAATAATAATAATTGTCATTATAATACTATAATCCGCATTTCGATTAATATATGACATAAGAAATTATAATTACAGAGATAATGCATTAATCCAACGGTGGACAAATAGCATTCACACTAAGAAAATGCCATAGTACATATTGTAGGAATTAGTCATCTTCTAGAAGTTCTTTACTGACCATTGCAGTAAATAATTATTTATCGTTATAAACTTAAAGCGCACAAGTTCACAAAAGGCCAATCGTGGTACAAAAATTCCAACAAACGTGGGAAATATATTTTACAATTATTATTGTTATTATTTTAAATAAAATAATTGACGAATTTCAAATTTCAACAGAAAACTACACAAGACAGCACACGGTTAAGTTTGGAACACCTCCCACATTGCACATTAAGCTTTATTCGTTTGCCATCGACCGAACTCTGACCCGACATCAAGTTTTCATATTATAATATCAACAGCATACAAAACTTACCGCTTGAAATTCTTTTAGTCTGTCTTTAATCATAGTAACTTGGATAATATAATATTATGATTACGGCGTTTAATTTATTTTCGGTTTGCAACGAAATACGATCCTCCTCGGCCGCCTTGCTGATCACCATCGGTATTAATCGGTTTAATTAATTGACCAGGTAACTAGTTAATACCGCATTATGATGGCACTTGGAACGTCGTGCGCCGACCACCAGACACAAACTAGCTGCTGCCGGTTAGCGCATATGTTCGGCCAACACGCGCGTTTTTTAACTTTTGATTTCTTATTACTACTCCCCCACTTCAGTCTACTCTATACGTGCGGTTAATAGTTGTGTTACATTACATTACTATAATTTATAAATAATACATACATATTACCACAGCGTTTGTTATGATTTACAAATAATAATCGTTATTATTATTATATATTATGTACCGTAGCGGAATAATGTAGGTAATGCCAAAGGATTTGTTCATGACGTTTTTTTAATAATTATTGCCGAGTCTTATTAACCGCGCACACATGTTACTTCCATACACGTCTTATGCATACTCGACCGTCGTCTAATGAATTTTGTTGTGTTTTGTTTTATCTGATCCGATTACGGGACACTCGACGGCAATATAATAATATAATATACCTAATCATTGATATAATTTTGTACGGGTACTTGTATTTTGTTTCTTTATCTCAAAGACATTCGGTATTTCCGTTATTGAGAGTTTTTACAACAGTTCTACTGCAGTATGCATGCGCTGTATAGTGTAAACTTTTAACTGTATACATCTAAGTAATAATTATTGGAAAATAGTATTATACTGTGTTATTGAAGGGAATTTTTAATAATTATTGTTACGGTAAATAAGTAATTAAAAAAAAAAATAATTCGCGTGAAAAAAAAATTATTTTAAAATAAATGTACTTATTTGAAACGGTCAAAAAATGTTTTTCAATTTATATAAACAGAAAGTGCCCAGATTTGGTCCAGACACGAAAACAGAAAAACAAAGCACATCATTGTAACCGGCTCGGCTCCTCGTAGAAGTTAAAAGATCTCGTTGATTCTTTATGGGTATTGCATGCGGTCTGTTTTTAAGGAGTATTGTATAGGCAATAATTTTTGTGCGTACCAGTGTCGTCGATGGTTGTGTTAAAACAACATTAGTGCGTGCGTGCTGTTGTATTTCCGTGATCAAACCACTCTTATCAGCGGTCATTAAATATAGCAATAAACCATCGCACCCCCCGCTGTGGTGACGGTCAAATTTTTAATTATTATCGTGATGAAAATATCTAGTCTACAAAATACTATTTTGACCGGGTAGATCAATGTGTACTTGTATAATATGTAAATGCCTACTCTAAATAAGTACTCCAATCAACAGTCAACAGGTAATGAAGTTATTTTCATTATATTGTTAACTACAATGTATGGGTAACTTCTACTATGACAATACATATTTTTGTAGACAGACGATCGACCCTAATCGTATACACCCTAATACTAAAAATTAACTTTTAACCACATAATCGTCATAAGGTACAATGCTTTTATCGATATTTGCATTTTACACTATAAAAAATAATATACTATATTGCCAAATTGTTTTTTTCTTTTTATAGAATAACTAAAACTATAATTTTGTATGTAGAAATATAAATAATGTGATTATAATTTAAATAATAACAATGGTAGGTAGTAATAATAATTCTCTATTACCTCAGAGTTGAATAAGTTTTCGTCGACGGATAAGGATCAGACTTTTCCCATGTACGTACGTGTTTAATAATAGTAACTTGTTTTGACTTACCGAGTTTTTCCAATTTTTCCAATTGAGAAGTGATTTAATATTTCCTTTATTTTTTGATAATATAATTTCTTTTTCAGGAACACTTTCCATTTTAATTTTTATAAATCTTACACAAAACTAAGTGTAAAAACATAAATGCATGACGTGCATCAAAATACTGTAGCTTGTTTGTACTATTTCATAAGACTTCTTGTACATATTATAAGTAGAGTATTTCTATTTACAATCCCCCGGATTTTTTTGACATCTATCATGTACATGGAATATTATTATATTATACTAGCTGCCAGTGGCGTAGTTATGATTTTTTTCTGGGGGGGGGATAGATGAATTTTTGAGTAAACGTAAAGGGGGGGGGGCTACGCCCCCCACACCCCTCATTCAAGTTTACGTTTTTTTTTAATATACTACTGTACACAGTTATATATTTTATAATATAATATACATTGAAAATTTGAAACAAATTAATTTTATTGACTCGGACATCTAATTTTTTAAAATAATAATTTATAAAACAAGATCTATTTTTCGAGTTCTTTTCGCTAGCTCATCAATTACTGCCCCGGTGTCAAGTTCTAAATTTTTATGAACTGCCAACATAACTAATCCATTCAATCTATCCTGTTTTAAGAGAAATAATAGTTAATTATTATTAAAATGTATTGACAGTTATTAAATCACAATGCATAAAATGTTAAAATTGTTTTGTTCTTACTTCACACATGGTATTTCTTAAGTACGTCTTTACTCATTTTCAAAGCACAAGTCAACAACAATGTTTAAAATTAAAATTATACACATTTATGAGATATTTCTTGAAGCATTTTCCGTTTTGTGGGAAATAGTCTAAACGGCTACAAACATTATTGAATATTTTTTTGTTAAATCGGGTTTCTACACAATACATTTTCAATTTTGGATAAATATAATAGGAGGAACTTACACTTTGTAGTAAACAAAGGTACAATAGCAACAATAGGTTGCTATTCGAGAGTGAAAAATAACACTTAACAGGCTTTTGAAAAATAGTTTACAATGCTTTTTATCGATATACCTATTTTGTAATATTGCTCCCTAGTTAAGTATGTTTTTTATGTATTGAACACTATTCCTAGTCATATTATATTTTTAAACAGGGCTAGAAATCGTTTTTTTTCAAATACATAAAACAAAAGATATAATTTTACATTTATTAAAAATTATAACTTTTATAATTGTATAATAACAGTTTTTTAATAATGGTTTTTAAGTCCTGACTTTGGGCAGCTCGCTTTAGTTTTTTCAACAAATGTATTAATAAATATTATATAATATAGAATCCATTTGTTCCAGCAAGAATAACTCGATGATTTACATTTTCAGCTTATTAGAAAACATAAACTTTGTACGGAGCGTAGCATGTTTATAAATTGAATCGCTTATTTAATTTTATTGTCTTGTACAGCAGCTAAAGCCAACATTTGAAAATAGTGAAAAGTCAGTGAGGTTAATTATTATTTCCTTCTTGTGGATTAGATATTATAAAAAAAAAAAAAAGCCAAAGGGTAAGCAAAACATTGATAGCTCTACTACAACTATGAATGATTTTAACTATAAAACAAGAAGTCAATAAAATAATAATGTAAAAAAAATATTTATTAATTATTATAACTTAAAACAATACAAGTAATCTTATAAAATAAATTATTTCACAGATGAATTTGATTTCTTTTTTTTTATTCGTCTAGGTTTAATAATTAAAATGATTACTACACAAAATTACTAAATATATTTTTGAATATAATTAATGTTATAAAAAATATTTATCGAAATGTCAATTGAATAGTCTGCATAGAAAACCAATACAAAGTATTTCTTTTATTAATAATTAAGTAGTATACTTAAACAGTTTAAACATGGATAGATAGACCACATTGTATGCTTTTTCGGCGGTGCTGTTTTGGACCTGATCATACATTAATGAGGTTGATTCGTAATCAAAAGTGTAGCTGAAAAAGTACATGCCGCGGTCTTTCTATGTATGTTTTAACGATGATACAAATTAAATAAAAAAATTAAACATATTATATTCTATTTTTTCTCTTATGTGGGGTAGGACAAATGTTGACGTCGTCAGGGGAAATCACTTCCGCCTTATCTAATAACAAATGATCGTACTGTCCGTCTCTGGCTGTTGTTTCTTTAGCATGATTAGCATATTTTTTTATGTACTCTACTGCCAATTTTGTGTCCACGTCGTTCATATATAGCCTGTTGCCCCACGTAACCAACACGATTGGCTGTAAATAACAAAACAAATTGTTTTAATCAATTAGAAATATTACTTAAGAACGTGATTTGCTGTCCGATACTCACCCTAGACGTAGGAACCAAATTGTACGGAGTAATGATATGTCTGAAAAGACAACCTTTTAATACTGTTCGCATGCGTTGTACCAAAATGGGATGAGTACACGGATGATACAACATTACGACGGCCCCATGCTAGAAAAAAAAAAAATTGTTAGGTTCAAGATTATCTTGGCACAATACTGTACATACTTCTAAATTATGAAGCCATCTTTGTCTTGGTAAAAATGTGTACTCTCCGTATTTGGCCCATGCTGGACGATGTGAACCGCTGAAAAAGTTAACCTGTAGTTAAATTTTTGATAAATGTTTAAAGGATATAATAATAATATAACTTTAAATAAGTTAAGACCATTTTTTTTACTTTTCACCGTTTAATTTGTAATATTAATTAAAATAAATGAGAAAAATTATTGTAAAATGTAAATACAAATTGTTATACACTTACAAGGACGGAATATCCTGATGATACGATATATTTTCTTTCATACACACGTGATTAGCCTGTTAACAAAAGTTAATTAATATTAATATAACACAAAACTAAACAAATAAAACTGTTTGAGACTAATAATTATTCAATAAATGTAGGTATAAAAATTAAATTAATATTTTTTTTAAGAACTCACAAAAAACAACTATTAATTTTAATGTTATTTTATATTTTTTTCATTTTTAAAGAAAACGTATGATTTGTATTAATTTCTAATAATTGGTATAACGTTGTCAATAATATATACGTTGGTGAAAATTATCGTTTAAATAACTCAAAAACATCTTCTTACAATAAGAAGCATCAGTGGTTCAGTGGTAGAATGCTCGCCTGCCACGCGGGCGGCCCGGGTTCGATTCCCGGCTGATGCATAAATTTTTGCATTTTTTATTTAAAACTTTCATAATTTTTTACTGGTATTATTTACATTACTCTTCAGAACGCGTTCAAATTCTATGATAACATATAAAACACTTTTTTTTGTTCGTTTCTTTCTTTGTTTTTGGTAAATACAAAAAAGAAAAGAAATGATCACCCCTCCCCTCGATACAATGGTAACATTTTCATAGTGTTTTCGAAATAAGGGGAAGAATCACAGCAAAGTTGCTCCAAAGTGTCTACCAAAATGATTTAAAATATATTTTTGTTATAAAGTTTCAACATCTCATCAATGTTGTCTAAAAGAACAATTTTTAAAATTGTGTAACAAGTGAATAATTTTTTATTTTTTATTGTTTCAGAGAAAAATAATTAAAAATATTATGTTGTAACTGGATAAACTTAATATTTATTTACCCCTTAATTATTTGGCATATTTAAAATGGCTTCTAGATTTTTTCGGTTACTCTTGAGGCTAAATTATTTTTTTTTAAATATCTTATCTTCTTAATCCTAACTATATTGTGGCCAACACAAAATAGAGTTTTTTTTTAACGCACTTTTGATTTTAATGAAAAATTGGGGAACAAAATATTAGTTCCTTAACATAAATGAGGAAAAAACTAGTTTTATTCTTCTAGCTTGAAACTAAGTTCTTTTTTAAAGGAACTTTCCGAGCACTTAATTATTATTTAAAAAATCATAATATTTATTCTTATCAAATAAAAAAATTAACACACTAACAAACATGTGATATTATACCGCATAATTTACTCTAGAATTAACTAAGAATTTAAGTGGACGTCATAGAACGGTAATACTTTATGACAACATTTTAATTTGATAATAAAAATGAGTAAGATAATTTTATAAACTTACCACATAATATTTTGGCAACAAATCCCTTTCTAATAAAGGCTCGACTTCAGGAGTTATGGGTAAGTAATCCATTTGCAGACATGTGTAGTTATAAAACGAACCATCCCAATCTGTGGTTAAATTTGTCTGAAAAGAAACGTTAAGTTAATTTGCAAAACCATTAAGAGAATATTTTTTACCTTTCCGTCATCACAAGTAGAATTAATATCCATGTAACCCATTGTTGGAACGTTTACTTTACGCTTAGGCGTATTATACCATGCAAAATCATCATTTTCAACGACTTTTGGAATTCCTTCATAATGATCTGAATCTGTACGGTCTGGCAAATATCTCCCATTCCATCTGTTAACAAAACATTGAAAAATTTGTAATTATAATTAATTTACTATTAGCGTTGAGTTACAGGTAAAATGTTCGTAAAATAACATTATTAAAAAAGGTATATTACAAATAAATAACGTATACTTACGGACGGTCTTTTTTGACATGATTAGGATGTTTTAAATTAATAACGTTGACCGAATATGGTATGTCTGTAAAAAAAATTTGATTTTAGATTTAGTGTGTATCTATGTAAAAATAAAAAAAGTGCAATGGCTCATCGATAACTTAATTTTCAAATTAGGTTATGATGAATTAATTTTATTCAAATGCCACTAAATATATTCCATGCATCTATATTCCATTCATTTTTTTTTTAGATTAATTACTAAATTATTATACTAATTAATTTGTTCTGTGTAAATGTATTAGCTAATGATACATAAATATGTTCAATTTGTACTTTTACAAATTGTAAAGTATAGTACGTAAGTACTGTATGTATTGTAGTGTACATAGAAGTTTTCAATTTTTTGGTTTTTTATAATATTGTCTCATTACTGTATGACAATACTATATACCCTGTGTTATTAATTTGTTACTTTGATTTTGTTCCTTGTTTTAAGTTCGATATAACTTTCATACATAAATATAAGTGAAATACCAAAGACACGACGTACCTTCTTCTTGTACTTGGTAAGAAGGAATTTTATTGTTGCCCGAAATCAGTACGCATAGCGTTAATACGTTAAGTAAGCAAAAACAAATTTTTACAGTAAACATTTTGGTGAATTGTCACTCGAAACGAGACGTCATTACATTACAAACAATTTCGAACAAGCGCGCTGGAACGTTTTATTTTAATGACTGATTTAACTTGTTCGAGGAAAAATAGTCAAATATTAGTTAAAAATTTTAATTTTAAATTTCAAATGAGAAATCAGTGATTTTTGTAAAACTAGTGTTATCAGTAAAACAGCAATAATCACACGTTATCGCCGTCAGTAGTTGATAACGAGCTCCGCTACGGGAGCATAACGGCAAAGACGTTGTAAACCAGTGGTACATTTGGTTTTTAATTTTTAAAAAATACATTTCCTTATTATTAATAATTCGAGTAATTAAAATATCTACATTCGGTCAATTTTCGCATATGCAAACTGACGGATAAAGATTTATTTGAAGTTTTGACATTTTTCGAATTTCAAATATGACGATGAATGCGGTTACTCCTTGACGTGTCCACCGCGTCTCGTCATTTGAGGTTATAAACAAGTGAACACTTTACGTTCCTTCATTGAAAAGTAGTATTCGCGTTAGTAAATTTTTAGGAACTGACTTACATTTTACGTTTATAAACCGATTCAATGGCACCTAAAGGTGATAAAAAAGGTAATTATACACATTTAAATAACTACCGAGTGCATTCGCCGACGAATGAAAATTATTTTATGTATTTTTCTCGATATTTATCGTCGACTGTCATTGTCACGGTAAGCACATGGCTTACCGCAATATCAGTCGGTCTTACCGAGCATGTTATTTCCCAGAAGAGGCACGTCCAAGTCCAAGATCTCAATTAGAATCTTTGCTAATGTGTCAGATAAAATTTGTAAAAAATCTTGTGCTTGGATATCGGTGGTAGTTTTGTCCAAAATCTTGTTTGGGCATGGCCGTCATGCGATATCACTTTTGAACTTGATCTATTCTGTTTTAATTTTTACTAGAATACCTGACTTAAAAATTAAGCGCCTTAGTAGTTGCTGGGCAGCGTTTTTCCCAATTATGTGTTGGAAAAATGTCAGAACATTGTATTTACACGCTGGCCTGCCTTTTCTGCTTAAACCACATAATCCAACGTCGTATCTTCAAAGGTTACCACACGAAACTATTTTTGAAGCAATGGTACTCTTAATTCCGATTAGGCTCTCTTATCCCGATTTGATTCACTTGTTTTATATTAATTTTCTCCCCTTTATTTGTGGTCCTTTTTTTCACTTCAGTGATTTAATTTGGTTAAAATAAATAAATTTTGTTGAATGGTTTTCTGGTATTCTAAAACTTTTTAAAAGAATAATAGAATCAAATATAACCGTGTAAGAGATTTTAGTTTAAAAAAAAACCTATCAAAGTATAACTCTTAAAATATCAAATTTTGCATACATTTAAAGCATTACATATAATTTATTGTAATTACATAAGTTGTCTTTATCACCTTGCAATGCATCCTGGAATAGCTAATTTGTTAAGAAATATTCTGCGGAAACGGTGATGGCCTTAAAACAGGTAGTTGGAGTGATTTGATTAAATATATCGACAATGATTCCCATGTTAATTCATATTTTTTGTACATTTTAAATGGTTTTGAAATTTATCATTTGATATTTGTTTTTGTACCTGGGTAGCAATTCATTTTTGCACTCATTTTTTCTTATTATAAAATTTATTTATTTATAATATATAACAACATTATATTTTTAATTATGACGTTGATGTATTTCAATTAAATAATCCAAGTATTACAATTTATTTATTTGTAAGAATTTGTTGGTTGAACACATTTTTGCTTTATAGTTCAACAAAATTGATATACTTTAGTTGAGATAGATTGAATCTTTTTTTTATATGTTTATATCTTTGTATATACCTAATACTTGTATATTTTGTTGGATAACACTATGTCATAACTAGGTTAGAAATTTTTTTTTCTTTTTATATGCTTAATGGTATTTGATATCAAATTAGTGTTGACCTTAACTTATGTCTTTTTTTGTATACATAATTTTTTTTTCAAAACAACATGGTAACATACAAAATACAAAATTTTAAATTTGTTACGGAATAAATACTTTACCTATATTGTTTCAATTTGTTTCATGTAGGCAAATGGTAAGCAAATCTGCATGAAGTTTTAAAATTAATATGGTAGAATATCTGATGTAAACACCATTTACTTTTAGCAATGTATACTTTAAGCTGGGTTTGAAAATGTATGCTTTTACTGTCATTAATTTTAAAAGAAAGTAAAGAAGAAAAAATAGTATACAGGCAAAATGTTTTTAATTTTATCACTTGATTATTTTTGTTTTAGCTAAACCCGCCGCTTCTGGTGGCGGTGGTGGTGATAAAAAGCCATCTGGCGAAAAGAAAGACAAGCCTGCAGCTTCAACGTCCGGTGCAAAATCGGATAAGAAGCAGCCAGCACCTGCACCGTTGCTAGACACGAAAAAGACCGACAAAAAACCAGCACCCGAGAAAAAAGCAGCGCCCGCCGACAAGAAAGCAGCCCCGGCGCCTGAAAAGAAGGCCGCTCCTGCCGACAAGAAAGCACCAGCCGATAAAAAAGCTGCTCCAGCTGACAAGAAGGCACCAGCACCTGAAAAGAAAGCCCCTGCCGCCGACAAGAAGGCTTCTGCTGACAAGAAAGCTGCTCCGGCCGACAAGAAAGCACCAGCTGACAAGAAGGCTGCCGAAAAGAAGCCTGCCGACAAGAAAGCTGCTGCAGCTAAACCCGCCGATAAGAAGAAGGAGGAACCTAAAGCAAAGGCCGAGGCATCTAAAAAGGGTGAACAAGCCAAACAAGGTAAGGGTGCCGACAAAGGAACAAAACGACCAGCCACTGAAAATGAAAAGGCTGGACCAGCTCCCAAGAAAGCCTCTGGCCAGAAAGGTGACAATAAGCCCAAGAAAGAAGCCGATAAGCCTAAGAAGGAGGCCGATAAGCCTAAGAAAGAAGCAGCGGCTAAGAAGAAGAGTGCCGATGCACCCAAGAGCGCTCCTCCTGCAAAGAAAGCAGCTCTAGATCCGGCTGCACAAAAAGCGAAAAAGGCTGCCGCACCTAAAAAGGACAAGTCGAAGGCTGCTGCTAAACCCAAAGCCGGTGACAAGAAAGACCAAAAGGCCGGTGACAAGACAAAGAAACTGGTTAAAGGTAAATCAGCCGCTGCCAAGAAATTGACCAAGGGTGCTGCTGCCGCAGCCGCTGCTAAGCTTAAGAAAGAAAAGAAGGCCGATGGTACTAAAACCGAAAAGAAGAAGGGTGTCAAAGGACTGAAAGTTGGTTCGAAACGTGATGCTGTCAAAAAAGCATTGAAATCTAAAATTAAGGTATTTTTTTTTTTTTATCAGGTTTAGGAATTTTTTCACTTTCCCGTTCATAATTAATCATTATGTATAAATTAATTTTTAGACTTTGAAAGGACCACATGGAACCAGAATACGTAAAATTAGGTATTCAGTGCACTTCCGTCGTCCCAAGACATTCAAGCCTCCGAGGAATCCAAAATACCCGAGGAAGTCGGTGCCCAAGAGAAACAGGTAAGTCGAACATTGTAAAAAGACACACTTTTTGTATTTTACAGAAATATAACACCGTTTATTTGAATTTGTTCATAGGATGGACGCTTTCAATATAATTAAATTTCCATTGACAACTGAATCGGCGATGAAGAAAATTGAAGATAACAACACTTTAGTCTTCATTGTACACTTAAGAGCTAACAAACACCACATTAAAGCCGCTGTTAAAAAGATGTACGACATCAATGTGGCCAAAGTGAACACCTTAATCAGGTAAATCGTCAGGAGAAATGGTTTTAATATGTAATGCTCTTATTTCAATCGCTAAATAGTTTATGAAAGTCGTATGATGATTTTATGAGAATCTCTCAGAAGTAGACGGTTTAGAGTCGTCTTAATAATGATTGAGAATACTTTTTCTGATGACTTCTACGTCTATACATTTTATTTATAATATCTTCTACATGATGACTTATTGAGAATCTCTCAGATTATCATAATTATGATTGAACAAATTTTGGTCTGATAATGAATTTTGATTATAATATTTCTTAATTTGTTGTAAAAATTACTATTGTTAAACACTGTTAAAAAATATTTAAAAAAACATTTTACTATTAAAAATATTAGACAAGCGTGAAAAAATTAAAATTAAATTTCAAACTTAAGTTAAATTTGAAAAATAATCAAGAGAGAAACTAAATTTTGTTTTATTATTTGCAGGCCTGACGGCAAGAAGAAGGCGTATGTACGATTAGCGAGAGATTACGATGCTTTAGATGTTGCCAACAAAATCGGAATCATATAAACGTCTAAATGTTGTATATTTGCTTTATTTTAATAAAAAAAAAAAACCAAAAAACCAACAACAAAAACTTATTAACATTTATTTGTTTTCGAAAAAGAAAACATACCTTCCTTAATTACTTGACGTTTTTTGTTTTAAGAGTAAATTAATTTTCTTAAAAGATTAATGATCTATTTTTCAATTATGAAAATTGTTCTATACAACTATAGATTTAAAAGCGTCATACTAATGTTTTTGTACTTGAACATTTTGAATAATATTATGGGTCACCATTACAATAGTTGTCTATTCACATTATATTGGCACCGAATCACAACATTAATGAACATAAAATATGAATTGATAATAATAAAAAAATAACTGGAGTGTGTCAATAGGAAATAGTATATTTCTTCTACTGATTACTAAAATATTTATGTCAAAAATGTTTGAATCTGTTGAACATTTGGGACCCTTTTGAACTATTAAAAACATATTGTGTTAATTTTACATGGAATAACAGTTAAAATTACAAGATTAATAATTAGAATAGAAAAAAGTTTTTTATTCTTAGAATTTATACTTTGTACTTTAAAACTCGGTTAGTTGTGTATTTTGCCCATCTTCAGTAATTAGGACTCGTGTTAGATAAAAAATGTTCATGTATATAATATTATGTAATTGGAAATATTGCGAAAAATACAAATAGCAAATCAAATGTGTTTCCCAGCCAATCGCTAATAATAATACTAGTTAAACAATAAAATAATGTATTTTTCGTTTACAAGCGGGGTTCGCCTGAAAGCGGCCATCCGTCTTGTAAAATAGATTCCTCTTTCCTGTGTTAATACATTATGTTGTGCTTAAAAATTCTTAGACTTGGTTATTGTTAAATTATAGTAACAATTGCCTATACAATGCGCCTTCATAAGTTCTAGTGTAGAGGCTAATTAAACAACAGTATGACTCGACAGATGTTTGAAAGTTTGATCAGAACAGTTAAAATTCACCCACAGACCACAGCTGTGGTCAGAAGTCTGCGAAAAACAAGAGGAAGCGTTTAAAAGAGATAAAAAAGTTGCCACGAGGTTTATGCCAGATGAATATTTTATTTTGGCAACTTAATTTCCACAGATGAATTAGTTTAAATTCTTGCAATTACGTCAAACCATTTTTTACTACAAAAAAGAAAATGTGTAAAATATTTTTTACAATTTTCGGCTGTTGCGACCAAATGGCATAACAAAATGATATTCATAAAAATTGGATACATAAAAAGCAGGGGTGGGAAATGGGAATTAATGAACTAAAAATAATTTTAAAATTGTGCTACGATCGATGTCTTCAAAATGTTATAAAGAATCAAAAACTAATTTTCAAAACTTAAATCTAAGTATTTTTAGGTAAGTTCTGTTCGAAGTAAAAACGCACGTTTTCGTACAAAAATAGATCAAATCTGCATTATGAAAATTAAAAAAAAAAATTAAATATCAAAATAGATCCTTTTTAGTTTTAAATTTTAATATTATAATTTAGCTTAATGTTAATTTTAATGAAAAAACTAGGCATACAAAGCGCCTTAATAAATGCTATGGAGAGGACCCTTAAAAATATTCCAATTTTTTTTACAGCCCCCCCCCGTCTGTATCATATTTTTGTAAAAAAAAATTAAATAGTTAATGGATTAAACCAGTTATAAATGTAACTGCGCAATTATTACAAAAGAGATTATTCGCGTTTCAAACAAAAATTGTTTATAGTGAACAACTAGGCTGTGTATAATATAATAAGGATCTAGTAATATATCATGGGACTCAAGTTCTATCTAACCATGTTGGACAATTTGATTTGATTGAACACTTAAATACTAAATAGAGAGAGTCGTGGGTAGATTGATGGGTTTGATATAGCAATAATAATTTTATAAAAAAATTTACATGTATTTTAATATTTTTATGTATTTTTATGAATATTATACATTCAAATTATTAAGATAAATCAGGAAAGGTTGTCAAACGTGAATTTGTTTATGTACAAGAAACCTAAATCTAAATAATATTTATTGATGACCTCATTTACGAGTTCTTTAATTTGAATTCCGAATTGATATATGATATCCGATTTATGTTTTGTCGGAAACTCAGCTAGAAATGTTCTTACCATTATTTTGATGTCCTGGTTTTCCTTCCCCTGTAGGACGCAATAATTGTGTACGAACGGTCCCAACGAAAACTGATTCTTACCGTTAATAGACCTTAACAATTGCATGACAAGTAAATCAACTTTTAAGTTGTACTCGAGATTAAGTTCATCGGTATGAGTTAGAATAGAGCGTTTTAAATGTATCGATATGTCCTTGTACCACTCCACAAGCAGTAATATTTTTTGTACGTGCTGTATACCAGGATGTAAAACATATTCCACGGGTGGAAACAAACTGAATAAATATGTTAATGCGTCATACATGTATTCGAACATCTGCTGACTATCCAATAATTGTTGATATGCATAATTGAAAATTTTCGACGAAATATCACAGTAATTATCGTCTAAAACTTTATATTTGACATTAACATTATTCTGTTTACTTTCTTTCTCATCATCCGATGTGTGCACTTTGTCTTCCAAACTGCCACTATTTTCGTCATATGATTGATACTCATGTTGTACATGAGTTTTCGATTGCTTGCCTGGCCTTTGATTACGATCCATTTTTTCTAAACGCATTTTTTTGAGTTTGAGGTTTTTTTCTTTACTGTATCCTCTATTTCTAGACAAACGTTTTTCGTAACTATTTATAGACAAAATGTTTTTGATCAACGTTGTAAATTTACGGGTCACGTTCGCGTACACACATCCTAACAAATTAGTAACCATGTAGTATTTCTTATACACGTTTTTGACAGTTACATGAGAATTTTCAATATTCTTAGTGCTTGAGTACAAACCTCTGTGAATAAATAAATCTTTTCCTGAAAACAAAACGCATTCTTTTGTATAATCTGAGTTTGATTTAACTTCCTCATCGGTAATCTGTGCCCATTGCCGGTAGCCCAAAAGTGAGTTTAGTACGTCAGCCATGTTTTTTTTGACCGCGTAACTTGCAAATGTTTTCTCGTTGTTATAATAGTATATTATAAAAAAATACAGTAACACTTTGACGTGCATTTGAACTTTTGAGCCTAATCTGTATATTGAAATTTTGAATATATTTATTTTAAAGTAAAGTTTTAAACGGTGAACGGTAGTTTAGGTTTTAAAGCTTTACAAAAATACGTCTGTTGTATGTAAAAAAAATGTATCTACAATACAAAACACGTACTAAAATTAATAGATATTTGTGTTAGTATACAGTGTTATATGTATAGTTTAAAAACACTTGTTTTTAATAAAATAAAAATATACACATACATATTAAATTCTTAAACAAAAAATATGTTATTCATTCTCCAAAAAAACGTTTTGATTCTTATATGGAAATCATATTATGATCGAAAGGGACATAGGGACGCTGGTTTTACATGTAAAATACATTTGGCAATTTAACTAAATTGAAATATCAAGCCAAAAAATTGATGGTTAAATATAGTAATATTTTATTGTGTATAATAATTCAACATGTATTTGAATATTTTAATGTAATTTTATGATTATTATTCATTCAAGTTGTTAAGATAAATCAGAAAAGGTGGTCAAATGTAAATTTTTTTGTATACACAGAAACCTAAATCTGAATAATATTCATTGATGACCTTATTTATGAGTTCTTTAATTTGAATTCCGAATTGATATATGATATCCAATTTTTGTTTTTTTGGAAACTCAGTTAGAAATGTTTTTACCATATTTTTAATGTTCTGCTTTTCCTTCACTGGTAGGATGCAATATTTGTGTACGAACGGTCCCAACGAAAACTGATTCTTACCGTTAATAGTTCGGAACAATTGTAGGACAAATGAATCAACTTTTAACTTGTACTCGAGATTAAGTTCATCGACATGAGTTAGAAAAAAGCGTTTTAAATATATCGATATGTCTTTGTACCACTCCACTAGGTGGAATATTTGTTGTACGTGCTGTGTGCCAGGATATAAAACATATTCCACGGGTGGAAACAAACTGAATAAATATGTTAATGCGTCATACATGTATTCAAACATCTGTTGACTATACAATAATTGTTGATATGTATAATTGAAAATTTTCAACGAAATGTCATAGTAATTGTCAGAAACCTTACATTTGCCATTAACATTATTCTGATTGCGTTCTTTCTCATCATCCGATGTGTGCGCTTTGTCTTTCGAATTGTCACTATTTTCGTCATATGATTGATGATCATGTTGTACATGAGTTTTCGATTGCTCGCCCGGCTTTTGTTCACGATCCATTTTTTCTAAACGCATTTTCTTTCGTTTGCGGTTTTTTACTTTACTGTATCCTCTAACTCTAGACAAATGTTTTTCGTAACTATTTACAGACAAAATGTTTTTGATTAACGTTGTAAATTTACGGGTCACTTTTGCGTACACACATCCTAACAAAATGGTGACCATGTAGTATTTTTCATACGCGTTATCGACACTAACATGAGAATTTTCAATATTCTTATTGCGTGAGTGCAAACCTCTGTGAATAAATAAATCTTTCCCGGAAAACGAAACGCATTCGTTTGTATTTTCAGAGTTTGATTTAACTTCCACATCGGTAATATGTGCCCATTGCCGGTAGCCCAAAAGTGAGTTTATTACGTCAGCCATGTTTTTTTTGACCGCGTGACTTGCAAAAGTTTTCTCACTATTATAATAGTATACTATAAAAAAATACAGTAACACTTTAAAGTGCATTTTAACTGATGAGCCAAAACTGTATATTGTAATTTAATATATATCTATTTTAAAGTAAAGTTTTTTACGGTGAACGGTTATTTAGGTTTTCCACTCAAACTGTACAATACAAATTGTGTTAAATGTAAAGACAAAAAAACCGTGTTTTACCTACTGAAGTTAAGATATACCTATTTGTATTAGTAGACGACTATATTATACGTATTGTTGAAAAACACTTGTTTAAAAAAAA